TGGACAGAGAGAAAGTAAAGATGCTGCCCTGAATGGACACGGGACAGCCCCGACCTTCAGGCTTCAGGGACTCCCCTTCCCAGTGCAGACCCCAGAAATGCACCCACCTTCTGGAGGGCATTTCCATCTCTCTAGGGCCAGGATGGCTTTCGCTGGAACCAGAAATGCAAAAGCACTGGCCTGGAACAGTGGCAGCCTGAAAGCAGAGGCACAGAGCCACAGGGACAGGATGGGAGTGGGGGAGGCAGGAATGAGACAAGGGAGACGGGGAGTGGGGGGTCAGCAGAGAGCGGCGCCGGGAGAATCCCAGGGACAGAGGCACAGAGGAACAGGGGCCAGGGCAGAACAGAGGGAAGTCACCTCAGCCTCAGGTCAGACTCTGGGACATTTTGGGCCCGTAAGAAAGAAAACAAATGGAGCCCCTAGCCCATAACCTGCTCCCTTTCCTTCTCAGCACCAGCTCCTGCACTGTGATGGGCCACGGGCATGGGAGTGGATAGCTCGGCTCCTGTGTGCAAGCTCCGCTCACAACCTTCCTTCCCACAAACAACCATCCTTAGGCCACCCAGGTCTAGGACTATGCACAAGGGGCAGAGAGCCCCCAGGAGGACAGGCCATTGAAGAGGCCCACAAAGGCCCTGGAAGCAGGAGAGCAAGTGGTCCCAATTACCCAGAGTAAGGCATAACAGAGGAGAGCCCAGCTAGGCACATTCCTCTTCCTTGAGGAACCCCCAGGGGTTCAGGGTGGGACCCCAACCGCCTGGCTCTAAGTCTGGCCTGGAAACCAAAGCAGCAGGTGGACACAAATAGCAGCTCTTTGTGTCCCACGAGAGTCCTCTGAGACTGCTCCTGCTGTGTGGGTCACTGCATGTGTGTCTACAGGAACAGGGTCAGAGGTGCAGGTAGCACATGGGGCAGCTCACCGGATGCCCAGTGTGGTCTGGATGAGGGTGGTGATGCCCACACAGGTGAAGATGGTGCCAATGAGCTGGCTGACCATGTACTGGTCACGGCCCACACACAGCGCCTCAGCCAGCAGGAAGGGCACAGCAATGGTGCCACTGAAGCAGGTCAGGTAGTGCTAGGGGTGGGGGAGAGTGGGGGGAGAGCGTGAGAGACAGGGCGCAGGGAGCCCACCAGGAAGCAGGGGGGATCTCAGAGCCCTCACGTCTGCCTCAGTGGGCCTGAGCCCAGGCCACCCCTGCCAGGGAGCCCCCTTGGGACTGATACTTGCATAAGCGATTCCCACAGAGCGACTGCTCACCTCTCTGGGAGTCGTCAATCTGCCCTAAGTTACTCCCACAGCTCCTGTGGAGTGGGCCCTCCTCCTGTCACTCCCGCTCCCCCGGCGGGTGATGCGCCACCCCTTTCGGGCCCTATCAAGCCTCTTCACCATCGACTTGGCTTGGCAACAGTCACTGCTGCTGACCTTAAGTTTCTCTTCCTGTTACCCAGGACGAGACCTCGTTGGCCAGGGAGGGGGCTGGGATCCTGGGGCAGGTGCAGGGTGGTCGGGGCGGGGGGTGCGCAGGGGGCAGGCCCTGGGAAGACGCCCACCTGGAAGCCCAGCAGGACGCACAGGTACCAGGGCGGCACATCTTCGATCTTGTACAACATGTCAAACTTGGGTTCTGTGGACAGGGACACTGGGGGGTCCCTCGTGGAGGTCCCTGCTGAGCCCAGGGACTCATGCTGGGGGCAGCATAGAGAAGAACTCAGCAGGGAGCGGTGACACCCAGAAAAGTCCATTCTGCTTCAGAATCAATCAGGTGCCCCGAGTGGCCTGACAGCTCCACAGATGGGGGCCCTTGCCCTCCCTCAAGCTTCACCCACCCAGCTCTCCCTTGGCCTGGCTACACCTGGCTACCACCTCACATTGCCTTGTGCAGAAACAAGTCCACTATGCTAGCTCCTGGAGCCCCCGGAACCTGGGCCTTCTAGCCAAGGGAATGGGCCCGTGAGTCAGAAGCCTAGAGGTACCCCAGGAAGAGGCCAAGAGGGCTGAAGACCGTGACAGACCCTCTTGAACCCACTCTGGTCCCACCAGTGCCCCGGTCCTTGGAGTGTCCGCTAGTGGGGTGGTAGGCTGGGCCCCTGTTGGTTCCAAGCTGGAGTCAGCCAGTCCCAAAGCAGAAATCTCCTTCACCCCCACTGCCACCCCCACCCCCTCCCCCAGTTGCCACATTCCACCTGGGACAGTCACTCTTGATCCAGTTCATCAGAACTTTTCTCTCTGCCCTCCCAGGGAGCAGGCTTGCACAGGGCCCCACCCCCACCCCCACCCCCACACCTCCACCCCCACTCATCCCCCAGCACCTGTGTCTGGCCCTCAGCATCCTCCCGGGCCCTCATCTTTGGGGCACAGGTTTGAGCTGTTCCTGAGGAGAAGGAGGGATGGCTTTACGAAGGCCAAGGAGGACTTTACTCCACATATCAGACATTGTTTGAAGTAAATCTGTAACCAGATCTCTAGCGCTGATTGCGAAAGGAGGGCCCAGCCTGAGGTAAAGTATTAACTCTGGCTGTAGTGGAAAAGGCTGCCCAAGCCTCTGCCACATGTACCTCCAGAGCACTCCCTTGCTTGCCCACAACCTGAGCCTGGGCACGGGCCATGAGTTTTCCAAGAGAGGGCCAGGGTGAGGAGTGGACGACCTTGGAAGGGTACCAGGCCCTGGGTGAGGTGAGGAGAAAGGGAGTGAACCTGGGCACATATGATGTCACACTCTGAATCAGGCTTTTCCCTACTTATTAATAAAAAGTTAATCATTATCATCATCATAACCCATCTTGTTATTGAGGAACAACTGTGTGCCAAGCAACAGCCTTGTATTGTCAAGTCTAACCCCAGATTCTGGGTGCTATTAACCTGTTTTACAGCTGGTGAAACAGATTTAGGAGATGTGATCTGACCAAGGCCACATGGGTCGCAAGGTTTTAGAAAACCATTCTAAAAATTAGGTTTGCCTGAATGCCTAAACCCACCGTGTTTATTTCTACATTAAATGTCATAAAGGGCTGCCCTCCCCACCACTACCGCTCAGGGTCCCTGAGGCGAAATCAGAAATGGGCCCAAGGAGCTGCCGGGGCTGGCTAGTCCGGTCTTGCCTGTCCTCTGTGTCAGGGACAAGGATTCCTTTCCTTCCCTCCCAGCCAGGACCAGCTGTGTGCTCTGTGGGACCCAGTGCAAAATGAAAACCTGGGACCCCCTGTTCCAAAAGTGTTATAAACAGCAACAGCAGAGCATTAAACCAAGTCGGGGGGCTTTTCTAAGCATCAGGCCCTGTGTGACGGCCACACAGCCCCTGAAGCAGCCCTGGGCCAGACCATCTTCCCCTCCTAGGGGTTGGGGAAAGCCTAGGGGTTGAGACTCTTGGCTGGTGGGGTCTAAGTCCCAGGTCCCAGTTTCAGCTCCCTTCTGTGCCTTCCCAGCCCCCTTAGGGTCCACCTACTTCTGAGTCGCTGTGCCCACGGCCAGGCCCTGCCACGAGGGCTCCCAGGGAGCACCGCTGTCCAGCTGGGTAGCAGCTTCATGTCACAGTCCTGAATCCAAAGGCCTGTCCAGCCTCCAGCCTGTTGCTCCGCCTGCCTGTCCTCTCCTCTCCCTTCTTGGCTACTGCTCCCAGGTTCCTAAAGTTGTCTGACCAGTTCAAAGCCTGTACTCCTCAGCACTTTCCTCCCCACCCTCTTTCCCTCGGTACTCCCTAGGGGGCTGAAGAGACAGCCCCACCCTTTCCACACACTGTCCTTTGGTCATTCAAGTCAACCCAAACCACATACCACACACACAGAGACAAGGCCGGCAAACTGCACATGATCTCAGATATACAATTGCACAAACGCACCCAGAGTCTGATGCAAAGTCTAAGTCACTCCACAAACACAGGACCACGCAGGTCCACATCACGGCTCCCAGCTCCACACCTGTTACTTCTGACGCCTCAGCCAATGCCTTGGACCCTGGCTTTCCTTGGGCTTCAGGGTTCTCTCCTGAGGGCCAGGGGAGGGGCCTCAGACAGGTGGAGAACAGGTGATGGAACACAGAGCGCTGGGCTGTAGGGCAGCTCAGGGAAGCCACAGTGGTCAGGGCCTGCCTGGGACACCCCCATTACTCCAGCACTATCCTTCCCCCACCCCCTAAATGTGAATTCTCTCCCAGCCCTGCCACTTCGCTTAGGACTCTGGCTGAGTCTTTTTTGTTGTCTGAGCCAAGATGTCAACAGAGTATTACAGTGTCTGTTCTGTCCACCTCCCAGAAATACAAAGGAAACTGCAAGCTTGAGCATCACTGACCCCAGATATCTAGACTCAGGTGCAACCCAGGTGGAGCTCTTTTCTCTGCTGCTAAATAAAGGGCCACAGGTGAGAAGAATTTCTGGGGAGAGCAGGATGTAGAGCCAAGATCCAGAATACAGCCTGTTCTGGGAACCCTGCCCTGCCCTGCCCTGTCCCAGGGCCCAGGCATGCCAGCTGGGTCAAAAGCATAGTCTAGAAAGTGAGCAGCCGCTGGGCGTAGACCCAGGGAGACTAGTGTTCTGGGAGGGGCACAGAGATTGCAGTGGCTGTGGTAGGCGTGTCCGCAGGTGACGTGCTTATGGAGTTTTCCTTGGGTTTCGTTTTCTCTCGTGAGGGATCTGGGGTTCCAAACGTGCTGATAACTGATTTCATGTGCCTTTGACAGCTCACACACATTTTCAACCATGATAGATATCACTTACCTCTGGGAAACTGTGGGGCTTGTCCCTGGCTTTCTCCAGCAGAAACACCAATGTTTATCCTCCCAGCCCCCCAAGAATCTTTTGCAGAGAGAAGGAATTGAGGTCACTGGTTTTATTTGAGTCCAGAGGGAAAGGCCCTGGCCACATCCCAGGCCCCCGAGGCTGGAGGAGGGAGGGAGCGAGGCCTCCCTGCACCCGCCCTCCAGGCCGCCTGCAGAAAGGAGGGAGGCAGATCAAGAAGGAGGCCAGCTCTTTTCAGGGGCTGACCGGGAAGGAGGAGTTGGACTAGAGCTCTGTTCTTGCGTCTGGAGCCTTCTCCGAACAGGCCCCCCTGGGGCCTCCACACAGCAGCGCCTCCAGGGTCCCTCGACCTTGTTGGTGGGCTTCATAGATCTGGTCTTCTCCAAACTCCCCCAGGTAGTGAAAGCAGGTCTTGGAGAGCCTAGAGGAGCCCAGCAGGAGCCTCAGACTCTGCCCTGCCTACAATGGGCAGATCAAGGCTGCAAGGGCTCCATCCCACTCCAGCCCTCCAGTCATCACCTGGTGGGCCACAGTCCGTCCATGATCACCACCATGATGCTCAGCTGTGCCCCTGTGCTAAGTCCCGGGCCCATGAGACGTTTCACCTGGTCCACTTCTCCAACTCCATAGCTGGAGGCAGAGGGAGGAGAGGGAGACAGCATCAGTGGAGCCTGTATCTACCCGAAGCGGGGCACATGGGACATCTACCAAGTTTAGTGCCCAGATTCTGGTCCTCTCTGCTGAAAAACTGAAGACCAGAAAGGGGAAGCCCCTGGCCCAAAGTCACACAATACCCTTATCCCCTGGTCACCCACTCTTCTGCTTGCTCCCAGCTCCAGAGTTCAGCCTCTGTCCCAACCAGCCCCTACCCTTGGGCTGGAGACCTTGTGGAGTGTGTATGGTGTGAGTGGGAGGATGGGGACCCCCCACTCATGAGCCTGCCCCTGGAGAAGTGAGGCAGGGGCCAGATTTCCCAACTCACCCCTGCCACGTCTGCGAGCAGCTCTGGTCCAGGACGTCTGTGTATTCTGACTCGCTCAGCTCATGATGGCCCCCAGAGTCCAGTGGGAGAAGCTTGGCCTCAGCTTTTATCAGATGTTGCCACATCTGGAACAAGGAGGGGTTCAGAACCAGGGCTTCAGAACTACTCAGTGCGGAAGGAGGGGCGGGGAAAGCAGCAGCCTGAGTCTCAGAGGAAGAACGAGGCAACGGAACCTTTTGAGCAGGAAGCACCTGTGAGGCTGACTTCGTGGCCCTCCCCCAGGTCCAGAGAGCTGGAAACGCACCAGCTGAGGCAGGACAGCCTTGGGATGAGGTGGGTAGGTGGGCAAAGCTGAGCTGGCCTGGGCACTGGGGGCCCTCCTGCAGGGCACACCTGCCCACCATCACCACATGCAATGTAAAACCACAAGAACAAGGAAAGAAAATAAAACCACTCAGTCATCAGTGACACATGTACTCATAGCACTTACACACTCACACATACACGCATGCAAGTACTCAGACACACTTGACAGGTTTGTATGTGAACTCAAGACACCCGCACATGCTCATGGGCTCAGGGACTCGACAAACATGCACACGTGCACAAACCCGCATGCTCCCCAGGCATGCTTTGGGAAGGAGTCCGGACTTCAGAATCGGCCTGGAAAGGGAGAAGACTGAGAGGACTAGCTAGGGACTCCCTCACGTCCCAGAGATGGCCTGTCTGCTCTTTGCTGGGCAGACAGATAAACTGAGGCACAGAGGTTCTAGTGAGGTGAAGATGGCAATATCATGGAAGGCTGAGTCTAGCTTGATGCCTGGGGGTGGGCTTGGGGATCAAAGGCCAGTGGTGGAACCTGAGGCAGACAGATGGGTCTGGCTTGAGAAGGGGCCTTCGTAGGGGCAGAACTGCTGGGGGCAGGGGGACTCACCTGGTAGGCCACCGCCCTGCAGGCATCACATCGCAGGTGAGTTGGCATGTGAGTTGAGAACTTTTCTTCATCGTCTAGCTCAGGGGCAGTGGCAGTGAGTGAGGCCTTGTCTCCGAGGCCCCCTGGGATGGCCCAGGCCCCAAGCAGCGGCAGCAGTAGCAGCAGTGACAGCCTCATGGCCGGTGGAGCTGACTCAGTGAGCAAGGGCTGTGGTTGGGGTGCAGGTGTGTGGGTGCATCTGTGTGTGTGTGTAGTGGGGGCTGCTTCAGAACACCTGGCCCAGACCAATGGGGAACTGACACTTCACCCCTCCCATTCTCTCCCTTCCCCCAGGGCCCTGGAGACTCCACGTGTGGATCTCCTTGCCTCTCCAGCCAATAAGGCAAGGAGAGGGGCTGGGCCTGGGCAAAGACACATGGGAGCTGATACCTCTCTTGACCTGGGACAGGCTACATGGCAGGCACTGTGCTAAGCTCCTTGGGGGAGGAGATGACTGGTTACTGCTGTCTTAAATCTACCCCAAAGAACACAAAGGTTTAGAGAAAAGTGACAAATTCAAGGCCACACAGCTAGAAGGGCTATGCTGAGATTGGAACCCAAGCCTGGTTGCTCCCCAAGGCCCACTCACCACTCAGCCGCCAGAAGAAATGAGGTCACAGGTGTGATTGCCAGCCTAGGGCGCCCTCCCTGAGAGGCAGGTTTGCTGAAGGAGGGATGCCACAGTGTATGAAAGACACATGTGATACTCTCCCACAAGCCACACCCAGGCATGGATGGCATTGTAGGGGGTGTTAAGGGGCCGCAGCAGGAAATCAGACACTTCACGCCAGTTGTTCCAGCCATTGGGGCCATTGGGTTTATTGCACATCACGATGAAGTGAAGGGCCCAGGAGTGGCCCAGGGCCCTCCTTGGCATCGGCATCTCTGGCCACAGAAAGATGTCCAGGTTATTCTGACTCATAATTCTCTGTTTCCAATTCAAGGCGAGGGGGGCAGTGACTCCAAGAGATCCAGGTCCACCAGAGGCCTGGAATTTAAGAAAGGCATTGATCTCCATCCCTAACACTGCTTCTAATGGTAACTGTTCTTCTGCAAACACATCACACCATGTATCAGTCCAGCACTGAGTGAAGCCCAGTCACTTCACTCAGTACTCTACACAGACCCCCCACGAAGAGCACCTCCTACTCTGTGCGTCCCCCTCTGCTCTCCTGGAATCTCAAGGCAACTGGAACACCCTCTGTGGGGCCTGTCCCTTCCTATGCTGTGACCAGCCTGCAGAGCCAGCCCCTCTCTAGGCATGGTTGCCACATCTGTTACCAGGCAAGTGGAACCAGTTGAGAGCACCACACAGGGGCATCCCTTCTTTCACCAGCCCTAACCCACCGTCCACCCCATCCAGAAAGGTCAAGAGTCTCCTCTGGGACCTCAGCTCAACCATCCTCTCTGCTTTTAAGTCTTTCCCAATGACCCACTAATCTGTTCCTCCCCCCTTGGTGGGAACAGCCAGAACCCCCACTTATAACCCCAGAATGAGCCAGTTCAGTTCTGAGGGCTTAGACAAGCCAAGTCAGAGGCTGGAGTTGAGGGGAGAAAGAGGGGCAGTACTCCCAGCTGCAGACTACAGTCACCTCCCACCTTCTCCCCATTCCCCACTCCCCCCAAGTCCCAGGCTGACCCTCCACAGCCCCTCACATACTACTTCCCTGACCTACCTCCACTTCCTGTCCCCGCAGCTCCCTTTCTCAGATGATCCTCGCCTAGGGCCTGCTCCAGCCACTTTTCCCCACAGCCTCCCAGGCCAAGACTCAGATCCCCTTCCAAAGAATAATGGACTTGGTACCAGTGTCCTCCTTCATCCCATCATTGCTCACTAGCCTGCTCCACCTCAGCTGGGTCCACCTTCAGGGAGAGACAGACATCTCCCTACCTCTAGGGGCAGCCCCTTCCTTGCAGCTCCCATTTCCTGCTCTCCCTGAGAAACTCCATCATCCCCTCAGGTCGGTTCCTGGGGCCATGTCATGGGATTTTTCACACTGCCAACTAAAAACTGTCACTTGTCACCTGCCTCTACAAGGATGAAATCACTAGCCACTGCAATCGCTGACCTTCAACCCACGCTGAAAGTTCAGGGCAGAGATCAGGAATGAGGCCCTCTGTGCTCCGGGAGAAACTGGCAGAATAGGCCTTTAGATATTTATTTTCAGGAGAAGTTTTTATGAGCCCAATTTTTTTGCATCTTCTCATATCTAGAAAAGCAATAAAATAGACATCTGCTCCTTGTGACTAGCAGCAATCTTCTTCCAAAATGAGTGCTTGATTGCACTATCCTCCTTCACCAAAATCACATATATACTGACCTACTCCCACATAGACAAGCTATGTGAGAGGTTGTCTCCCAGGCTTATAGTTTTCATTCTGCCCCAAGTAACACTTAACTCACAAATCTCATGTTGTGCATTTTTTTTCAGCCCACAACACACACACACCTACACACCCCAACACACCACACTCTGGGAGTTGGGGAAAGGGTATAGGATTTTCCTGGGGGAGGAAACAGGCAGCCATTTCCTGAGCTCCAGCTCCATTAGCCCCCCAACCCCACCCCAACGTGTCTCAGATAATCTGAGGGTAACTTCCGGTCTGAGGGGAAAAAAAAAAAAAAAACAACGGCATGAGATGGGTAAAAGGAAGAGATGATTGAAGGAGAAGAGGGTAAAGGACTGGATGCCAGAACCTTTCAGACCATCAATAGGCCCCAACATCAAGCGGATCAGGCCCTGGAGCCTCACACCGGGAACAAGGAGCCCTTGCTGGGCTGCGAGGGACCCAAGCTGGAGGGTGGAGTACAGAGAAGAAGAGGAGGTGCGGGGCTGGGTGTCCCGCTCACTGGCAGGTAGTACATCCCGTCCAGGGGCCCCGCCTCGGAAGCCCAGGGTAGCTGCGGGCCGCTGAAGGCCGGCGGGCCGGGGGATGGTGGCACTGAGAGGCCAGGAAGAGGCCCATAGGCTGGCGGGTAGAGGCCGGGGCCCAGGGCCAGCGGGGTGTAGACGCGGCGGGGTGGCACCGAGGGCGAGGGTGGCAGCAGCACCTCCACGTACTGCCCGCTCTCGGGGTCGAAGAGCAGCCGCAGCCGAGGCTGCCTCGGCGCCTCCACAAAGTAGTAGCGGCCGCTTTCGGGGTCCACCAGGACCTTCCCCGGGTTTGCGGCCCCCGGCGGCCTACGCGCCCCCTGGGAGGAACCGTCCGCAGACCGGTCCAGCGGAGGTGCCGAGGCCGCGCGGGGCTGGGCCCGGGCCGTTCTACGAGCCGACGCCTGGGGCTCCCGCGGGAGGGACGACTGGACCGCCACCGCGGGCTCAGGGACCTTAGGGGGCGTCTCCAGTTTGGATTCTATTCCAGAGCTCGAGCTAGGGTGAGCCTGCGGGGAGCTGGGGCGGGGCGGTCCGGGAGGTTGGGTCTCTGCTGGCCGCATGGGCGACTGCTGGGGTGAGGTGCGAGCGCCGCCTAGAGGGCTGGTCCGACCCTTGTCGTCCGGGACCAAGCGCTGGGCCTCTGCATCCCGGTTCTTTCCTCCAGGACCGTGCACCGCGACTCCCCGGGTTCTCTCAGGCCGGCGGCCTAAGGCCAGGGCACCAGGCAAGCGGATCTCAGTGCGCGCGAAGGGTTTCGCCGTGTTGTTCTCTGCCCTCCGCCGCAGGACCCCGTTGGACTGCGTAACGTCCCGGGTGACTGTGTCGGGGGTTGGCTCTGGGGCTTCGTAGGGGTGTGACACGACCGGCAGAAAGTCCTTGAGAAAAATGGAAGTGTAGTGAGACGGGGCGGGGGGCCCCAGCGCCTGAAGCTCTTGTGTCTTGGATGCGCTGCCTTCCTCCCCGCGGGGTTCTGCAGGAGGGGCGGGGAGCCCTGAGTCTGGGGTGCTTGCCGGAAAGCTCGGCGCGTACGTGGTCTTCACCATCTTGCGTACGTCGCGGGGCCGCGGAATGGCCACGCGTGGGCGCCCCGAGGCCGCTTCTCCAGAGCCCACCGCTTCAGGGCGCGCATCGGCATCCAGGGTGCGGCTGAGAGGCAGCTGGGTTGCAGCCACCTCTGGCGACAGCTGGTTACCTTGGAAGGCAAGATCCGTCATCTCCCGCGTGGACGGACTTTGAACCTCTGTTAGCTTTGGAGTCCCTGGTGCAGACGGCGTGGGCGGCACCAGTTCCTCTTGGGCCGCGCCATTCATAGCTACCCGCGTAGACACTACCGATGAGCTCTGCAGTGTGGAGTTCCACGTCTCCTGGGGCGATGGGCTCCACGTTCCAATAGGACGATCTGGAGTCTCCCACGAGGGCAAGGTCGGCGGGGACGGGCTCCTACTTCCCTCAACTGCATCCCCAACTGCCGGATGCGGCACCTCCCACGAGGAGGGAGCTTCGGGGGATGGGCTTCTTGCCCTGGCAACACCCCGATTCCACTGGGAAAGGGTCGGAGGGGAAGGGCTCTTTTTGCTGACAGTTTCCGTGACAGCAGCATCCTGATTGTCCCATGTGGAGGATGCCTCGGGGAGCGATGGGCTACTCACCTTCCGAATAGTTCGATTCCAGGGGGACAGGTTCTGGGGGGAGGTGCAGTGAGGACCCCGCACGGTCCCATTTGGGGCTTGCCACGGCGGGGATGGGCTCCTCCGTCTCACAGCCTTACTCGAAACTTCCCAGGGGGGCCTAGACTGGAAAGGCGGACCCTGTGCCCTCAGGACGGTTTGATCCGGAGTATCTCGCGGGAAACGAGCCTTTGGTTCTTTTTGGTGCACCTCCTCGGTCTTCTCCCCTGACTTCAGGAAGATGCTGGAACTAACTGGACCCAGCGGCTCGGTCCCGGGCGCGGGCTTGTCGCGCCGAATTGCGCGCTCCCGGAGGCTTGGCCACGGTCTTGGGGCCCTGGCTGGGGCTGAACTATATTTCACCCGAGGCGGCAGAGACTTGGCTTCCTCCAGGGCCACCCGAGTACTGCGGGGCGTTTCCGGGGTCGCAGGCTCCGGCGGCACCGTGGGTCCAAAGGTGGCGTTGCTTGGGGCAGGGGGCGCCGGGCTCAGTTTTCTGGCTAGTGCCGTCTGCACGAGGTCCGCGGCAGCCTGCAGGCGGCTCAGAGACTCATCCAGGGAGCCGGTGCGCAGGAGCAGTCGAGGGCGCGGCGCATTGGCCTCCCGCGGGGGACTCCGGGGCCGAGGGCGCAGCTCGATCTGACGTTTGGGCACCGTCCGGGGCCTGGCAGGCGCGGTACGCTCCTCCAGCGCCACCTCCACACACTCGAACTGCGATGGAGTGGCAGGACTCGCCGCGCTGGGCCGCAGCTCCAGGTAAGTGGCCCAGCGGGAGCCACCGTCGGGGACCTGGGGCTGCGGTTCGGCAGGGATGGGAGACGCGGACCCAGCCGGAGAGAGGCTGCGGAAGGCCCGCGTCGTGAGCTGTTGCACTTCTCTATCCTCTGCGTCGGAGCGACTGAATAGGGGCCCAGCGCCGAAGATGACTTCCATCTCCCCCGACGGCAGCATGCGCAGCTGGGGCTGGGGTAGTCGCGGGCCGGAGGCCGGGCCTCGCGGGAAACCCGAGCCGGGCAGTAGCTGCTGGCGGCTATTCTGGGCGCTGACGGACAGGCGAGGCTGCACGCCCGCCCCCAGCGCAGGGGCCACCCTGGGCCAATTCGCCCGGCTCTCTGCGTCCGGCCCAACGTCCGGGGGCTCTGGAGAACCCGGAGCAGTGTGGTAGGAGCCTGACGAACCGGACGAGTCCTGGCGCCGAGCGGGGGCCTCAGGCAGCCGCCCGGGGAACCCAGGCAGGGCTGGCTGGACGAGCGCGGTCAGCATGCTGAGGCCGGACGCTGCGCACTACCTCCCTCGCATTCGCCTTCGCTGGTGCCGCGGACGCCCGCATTGTCCCCGCCCCGCCCGCGGGTGCCGTGGGGGTCACCGCGCCTTAAAGCGGCCGCGTCCGCTCCTAAGGCAGCGGCATAGGCAGCCAGAGGGCCCCGGGCCCTACCCTCCTAGATCCCTTCTCAGACGTGAACCGGAGAGCCTAGGGTGACATTCCAGGATTTGGTTTGGAAGGTGAGCGGAGGGCAAACATCCAACTTGGACCCAGGAGCCAGGCCCAACTCCACTCGTCCATCCCAGGTGAGGGAACTGAGGCTGAGCAGCGACCTGCTTGACGTCAAGTATCCTGTGTGGGTCAGTGTGTGAGCCAGACCAGACAACCCGGGTCTGGTAATTTCATCTGTCAACTCCCCAGGTCTTCCCACCACTGCAGCGCACCCCTCCTCTCTGGCCCTCACAAAGCCTGTCCCAGCCAGAGCTCATAAGGGAGCATGCATCATCTTCTGTGACCATCACCACAACCTGCCCCATATCTTTGATAGAGGAGCATCACATGGAGGCTCCCCCAACTCCAAAAGTTGTACTGGGGCCTCAGAAAACATGTCCCTGGCTAGACCCACTGCTTTTGTGGAAACCTAGGCTGGAGGGGACAGTGCTAGCTTTTCAGGTTGTCAGAACAAGGCCCAGATGCTAATACGGCATCTTTTAGGAACATTTAAGGTAGCTGTGGTCCCTTCTCTAAAGGCCTGTGGTAAGAATAGCTCTGTGCTCCCCCAGGCACTCACAATGCCCTCATTCCAGGCCCCATCACTTCAGGACCTGTCCTGGGGACAACTGCTGATGGGGAAGCAGCTACCACCTGTTACTATCCTGGGACGATGACAATGGGCACCACTTGCCCTTAAACTTCTGGCTTCAAGGTCCTGCTATGACTCAGGCCCCAGCTGGCCCTACGCACTCAACCTCACACTGACCCAGGCAATGCCAGACCTGACCATTGACTCCGCCTCCCCTAAGTGCGTTTCCTGCCTGGGTGTGTCCCCTTGGTCACCTAGGGCACATTAGTGACGGCTTCTGAGAGGACCAAGCCTGGCCATCACACTCAGCTCTGTATATGCAACTCGAGCAAGTCATAACCCCTCCACAGACTGTTATCCCACCTTAAAAACAGACATAGCAGGGGGAAAAAAAAACCAAAAACACACCACCACCATAGTAGTCTTTTCCTCTTCCTCCATTTGTGCACATAAGCTTCTGTTCGGGAGATGTGTAAGAAGATGCAAAGGTGATTCACAGGTATAACATTCTTGTTATGTGATGGAAACCAATTTCCCAAGTTCACTGTGGTCCTGGAACCCACCATTTTTGAACTCTCCAGTTGGGGCTTCTCAGACACATAACACAGCACATACACACTTATGTGTGCTGGGGTAACCAGGGCTGTTTATATAGGAAAGAATTTAATACCAAGAGTAAGAAGGGATAGTGCCTACTAGACAACCAAGTAGTCCTTCTCTAGGCTACAACCTGTACCCCCAGAGTCCCCACTATCACCCAAGGGAGGAAGCCAGGGGAGTAGCAGGGTCTGGAGACTCGTCGAGGTGCATCCTCAGACTTCTGAGCACAGGAATGGCCCGGCAGGTGGTGGTCCAAAAGGCAGGCAGGGAGGAAGGAAGGGGTGTGTTGCCTTTTACCCTGCCTCTTCCCTGGTGTCCAGGCCACTGTGAGGCCTGAGGGAAGTACCCACAGGGACAGGAAGGGTCAAGATGGGGACCTCCAGAGCAGAGAAGGCAGAGGTTGGGCATTACAGCCAGATAACAGGAAGGCGGCAACCATTTTATTTTTCCCTGGGACGCTGGCAGCTCCGGGCCTGACGTGTCCCCGAGGCTTTCTTATGCTTCTGGTCCAGCACTTGGGCCATGTAGTTCTCTTGCTGCTTCTGGATCCGGAAGTCAGACATGTGATTCCTGCAACGGAGCCGGCTGGGTGTGGGCTGGGAACAGCCCAGGTTAGGGAGCAGAGGTCTGGCTCCCCACTTCCATCAACAACCCCCAGCCTGGCCCAGACCCCTCACCTGAAGATCTCTTTCTGCTGGCTGATAACTTGCTGCAACTCCTTAATCTCATTCTCTTTGCCATTAAGTATATCTTCTTGCTTTATAATGTGAGACTCAATTTCTGTGGGGGAGAGAGGCAGGGAGGAGGAGGGGTTCCCATCCCATGGGCTCCTTCCTGAGATAAGGCATTCCCTCGTGGGTCTTTTCAGAACTTGGCTCCCCACCACCCAGGGACTGTCTAAGAGTAGTTGCTAATGTCTTTGTAAGGATGAGTTTATTATAGAGTCCTGATAGGGTGGGGGTGTGTGTCAGTGACTTCACAACTCTATTCTGGACCAGGTGGCTCCCCTGTGGGCATGCAACGGCCCTTGGAGAGAAATGGTCAGCCCTGCCCTCAACTCCTGCAGCTCTTTACAGATATCACCTCCTTGGTGAGACCCTTCCTAGTCTAAAACTACAGCCCTTCACTTCCCAATATTTCCTATCCCGTTTTCCTGCTTTATTTCCCTTTTACCACTTAAATCTCACAGACCTCATGTTTTGCTCGTCTTCTCCTCTACTAGGATATAAGGTCCACAAAGAAAAGGATTTTTGTTTTATTCACGGCTTTAACCCTGAGACCTAAAATAGTACCTGGCACATAGTGTTAAATAGATGCACAATACATTTATTTGTGGAATGGATAAACAAGATGTCCCCTGGGAGTTTAAGTCTTAGAAACATCACCTAGTTCAGTCATTGCAAACCACCCACCCACTGAGGGCTAGAGCAGGATGCCCAGCCCTGTGTTAGGGCTTCAGGCGAGAAGACAGGACCCCAGGGAGATAGTGGTGGCAAAGCTTACCCCCAGATTAAGTGCTCATTAGATGCAAGGATGAGTTTTGTGTCTTGGCTTAAAATCCAATGAGGCTGTAGGGATCTGGGGTTGCTTCATTTACATAATGTCCCTCAGGGAGCCCTGAAAATTCTGATCCTCAAAGAAGAAAATCCTATAGCTTTCAAAGGCTAGACAAAGATTAACTAGAATGTAAGCTCTGAAAATGCAAAAATGCTGAAGCAGTTAAGGTTTTAGAAGAGAAAATCTGGTCAAAAATTACAGGATATGTTGAACAGAGACATGGGTGAAGGAAAAGAAGGAAAACCTGGGTTCATTGGGTCACAGGACCAGTGCTATTGAACCTCCTTCCCCAGGTCAGCCAGTGAATCCAATCTGATTGCTTATGAAGTTCTTGTGGGAAAAAAACATCAGAAATTTGTTCAAATCTTAAAATAAATGAGAGCTATTTAGAATAAATGGCACCCAATGAGAGAGTGGTTAGAGAAGACTTTCAGAAGAATAAGGAACTATGTAAGTGTAAAACCAACCTGGAACCACATAAAGGGAGGTGTGGGGGATTAGAAGTCAGGCCAGGGGGTGGCTTAGGTCACAAGATCTGCTCAGGTGAGGGCTTGTGCCCTTCTGGAGGAATTCAGAACATTCTGCCGGGAGGAAGCCAGGCTCCTCCCCATGACTCACACACACCTTCCACAAGCAGATGCAGAGCCCTGAGGCCATGGCTGATGTCTAGGAAGTGTCCTAGAGGAAGGGCCTCACCGCTAGGAGAGAAGCCTAGGTTCCTTTTAGGGAAGTGGGGGGAAGCCCAGGGAAAAGGGAAGGACTAAGGGAGCAGCATCTTTGGGTATGGAGGCATTGCCTGCTTGTTGGGCCGCCGGAGGGGCCATGAGGCCATGAGGTTGCCTTAGACAACCATGAGGCTTGTTAGTCCACCTGGCCAGATCAAGATGGCAGCCTGCTGGTATCTTTCCAGTGAGAGTACTCACCAGGGGAAAGAGAAGCCTGCATTGGTGGGTAGGGGGTGCCCAAGACTCCAGGTGGGGGCTCATCAGGAGAGACCCTGAACCTCTTCTGGGTGTGAACTCTGATCTACTTGAACACTGCAGTGAAGGAAGGAAATGTTGCATATGGAACTCATATCTACTTCTTAAAGTAGGTAAGGGGAGTCTGGCATTCTGGGAAAATGAAAAGGGGTTCTAAGGTCTCAGAACACTGAATAGCTGACCGAAAGTGCCCCAAAACTCAGAGTACCAACTGAGCCAACAAGTGGCCACAGGCATCTGCATAGAGCAGAGGTGAAAACTAATGGCCCACAGACATATTTTCCTTGGCCCATACAATACTTTAAACATTTTTGAATTTTTAAATTTAGTGCCAACATGAAAAAGTCAGAAAAGCTTCCATTAGAATGTGCTTTCCAGTTTTTTTTTTAAAGATCTGACTGTACTGGGCCCCTATTCCCACAGCAGAGGTGCTAGGCCCTTGGGAAGGAGTATGGCTCTCCACATCATCACAGTCCCCATTTCTCCCTGTTGGGTCCCCAACACTCAGACTAAGGGTCAGCTTCCATACAGGACTGTTCTTTCCCTGAAAACAGAGTTATGAGTAAAGTACACTCTTTCTGTTAGTTACCAAAAGTGGGAAAACAAAAAGGTGGACTAAGGTCGTATGTTTCAAGAAAAATGGGAGCGAGCCCGTTCCTTTATGGCCATGAAGAATATTGTACACCAACCATTTCCCTCATTTCCGTGGCCTGCCTGGTCCCTGAAGGCCTTTGCGAGGGTGTGGCCCGCTTGGGCTGGCCTGTATCCTCAGCCGGGGACAGAAGTTGGGGTGAAACCCTGCCCTGGACACAGGCACTGGGCTGTTAGGGAAGAGGCCATGTAAGCAAGCGTGGGAGGGAGTGCGGGCCTCCCGCCTACCATTGCACTTGGTGATGAGCTGGTCCTTCTTGCTGGACTCCTGTAGGGCTCTGCTCTTGACACTGGAGAGCCTGAGTGGAGAAGATAAGGAAAGGTGGGAAGGCTGATGGGCAGATGGGACCCCCAACTCTTCCCCCACTACCAAGTTCCACTCACGCCTTTTCAAAGGCCAGCTTCTCTT